ACCCTAATAATATTCTGACAGGACTGCAGTGGACGCTACAATCTGCTGAGGCTTAATTCGATCCCCATTAAAAAAACAAATCACGCAACCACTGCAATTATGTTGTCAGACTCAGTGGCAGTAATGTTGTGTTATCCTCTTTTGTTTTTTTTTTCCCCCAAATCAAGCTGACAAAGGAGTGTGTAAAACAGGAAAAGATTCCCTCTCTGTGCATATTGGCTAAACAAACACAAATCTGCAGAGTGCTGCAGCTACTGCTGTACCTCTAAAATTACAGCTGTATCAGCCCACAATCAGTAACACAGCACTACTCATCTCTTATCAGGTATCAGGCATTAGACACACGGTGTGTAGGCTATGCTCGATTTGCATGTAAAAGTAGTCAGCATTCTAGTCAGCATAGGCTTGAGATTGGACAAAAATGACAGCCTCCCAGTAGCAAAGCCAAAGTATCTTGATTGTGCCCCTTGTGGCTGGTTGTATTATAGGTCATAAATACCTCTCTCTATTTAGCCTAGGAGACATGAGAAAATAAATCCCCAAACATGATCTCTTACATATCAGATTCACGTTATTATAGATCTCTCCTTGGATTTTTTAGCAGCCTTTAGGCTTTTTTTTCTTTCATCTGCCTGAAAGAACAACACTATAGAGTCACTAGTAGACAGTTGTGTGCTCTTATTTTGAAAGTTCAGTCACTACTAACCATTTACCTATTCAGGTGGTCCTTGATATCCTTCTCCTGTCTGATAACCCGTGGACGTGAGAATGCTAGACGTCGCTCTGACCTGGAGATCAGCTGTGAGCTGCATGGCCACTCACTCAATCTAGCAGGTGGGGAATGGCTTAATGTGCCACTATGGTGCACTCGCTGAGAGGCAGCTGCAGTCCACGACCTTGGAGTTGGAGTACAGAGACTCACTGAAGAGGAAGATGGCATTACTGATTCAATGTTTGTCACATACTATTTCCCATTTAACATTGTTGCTCGAAAGCACATTTCAACCAATAATTTGTAGCTTGCACGTGAGCTCCTGCCAGACTACTTTAACCACAATAGAATCCAAATCGAAAACACTGCAAATTAACGGCTTCTTATTATATACTTCATGTCAAATTTTACTTTGCATCATTTATTTGATATTACAAAGCATCTGATGTTGTCACGACTGACAGCAGTGATTGACAGCTGCTCTGAACTAAGTAGTTACAAAGTAACTGTCAGACCAACGTTCAGAAATTGTGCAGGAGAACATCAAACTGCACTTAATAAAACTCTGAGGGATACGTGGCATTTTCACCATTCTTAATCTTCAAGAGAACTATCGCCCAACTGATTTATGGGGTATTATCATCTGATTAAAGCTATTTGCTGATCTGGGTGACTGATAAATGAAAATGTAAAACGCAAAGAAGAAACTGAAGAAACACCCTTCAACCATGGTCTGAGTGTTGACATTGCATAATTTGTCCACCAGTGGGTACTCCCTGTTCCCTACAAACAACAACGAGCTAATCCGAGCACAGTAAATGTGCATAAATTAGTAAATAAATAACTACACAAAATAAATGCTAGGAAAAAGTGTTTTGATGTTTGAGTGTAAAAGAAAAATAACATCGCTAACCATCAATATCGCTCTTGAAACACTGTCATCATGGTTCTATATAGAACATCTTACACATCCTCTGATGATGGAATTTGCATCACTTGAACCCTTGCAGACTCACTGATAGGAAGCACCACTAGCATGACTAGTGGTGCTACTCCACACTACACTACTCCATGTCTGAAAACATAGGAGAGTTAGCACCGCTTTCCATTTGCTGCTTCTGGTTTGAATATTTTGTTTTCATCAACTTTATTATTTTGTAATAATGAATCACAACAGCAATGCTTTTACATTTCAATCTCAGCTTATTTGCTTTTACTTGTGGGTGCAGCAAATCTTTTCATAATGA